GGCCGTAATCAGGTCTCCCCTCAGCCTCCTCTTCTCCAGGCTAAACAGCCCCAACTCCCTCAGCCGCTCCTCAGAAGTTTTATTTTCCAGCCCCTTGACCAGTTTAGTCGTCCTCCTTTGGACTCGCTCCAGGAGCTCAATATCTCTCTTAAAGCGAGGGGCCCAAAACTGGACACAATATTCCAGGTGCGGCCTCACCAGTGCCGAGTACAGGGGCAGGATCACTTCCCTGCTCCTGCTGGTCACACTATTCTTGATACACGCCAGTATCCCATTGGCCTTTTTGGCCACCTGGGCACACTGCTGGCTCATATCAAGCCGGTAGTCAACCAACACCCCCAGGTCCTTCTCCGCCAGGCAGCTCTCCAGCCACTCCTCCCCGAGCCTATAGCGATGCTTGGGGTTTTTATACCCCAAGTGAAGGATTCTGCACTTGGCCTTATTAAAGCTCATGCTTTAATAAGTGGATCGGGCATCCACTTCTCTGGACAACCTGTTCCAGTGCCTCATCATCCTCAGAGTGAAAAATTTCTTCCTTATATCAAATCTAAATCTGCCCTCTTTCAGTTTAAAGCCATTTCCCCTTGTCCTATCACTACATGCCCTTGGAAAAAGTCCCTCTCCACCTTTCCTGTAGGCCCCCATAAGTACTGGAAAGCTGCGATTTTTTTTTTTTTTTTAAATATTTTTTAGCTCCCAGATGTCTTGGAGCATTTATAATGCTGCAGACCAGCACCTGACTCAGAGCTGGGCAATGCCACTGCAGGAGGTCACCTCAGGGCCCAAATGCTACTCTGAAAACAAGCAGAAGTTCATCTCCAAGTAATGCTTAATCCTGATCTGCCTGCTGCGTCCTCAGGTTGTTTTAAGGAGACTTCCAGCTGTTTAGAGCAGGAACTATCATGGATGCTCCTGTCACCAGTGAGAAAATACAGCATAAGGGAACCCTGCACTTGCCAGGGGAACCAGAAATGAATGGCCCAGGTATTTGGGGAGGTGAGAGCAGAGCCCACCAGCTAACCCTTGAGCCATACGAGGTCAGACTGCTGAGCACAGGGTACCCAAGAAGTAAGACCAGCTGGAATAGCTCAGTGACAGAAGGCAAGAAGAACATCCAGAAATCTGGATTGTGGCTTAACAAAGCTGAGCCTTAAAAAAAGATGACAATATAGTCCATGTCCTAAAACATTTTACATGAAAAGTTATTAACACTTCACCTTCAATATCCAGTTGATTTAAAATGTCAGCAGCTACTGCATCCACCTCCAATTCACAGGTACTTTGTGGCTCAACACCTTTCAACAGTAAAGAGCTGCAACAACATAAACACCACAGGTTAATTTTAGCAATGTATGTTTTTGAAACACGCACCATCACTGTTTTCTAACCGGACTAACATCTAAAATATTTCAGGAGGAATTGAGGCGAGTACCTGAATACAGAATTACCAGTTCTCATCCTCACCTGCAAGTCCTTAAATTAATAGTCATATTCAAATCTAATTAGATGAGAAATTCGTATCTTCAACTTTTTCTTTTGTGGGGAGAAGAGAAAGAAGTGGTAAACAACTCTAAATGCTACAGCAGTTACAATCACGTTCTCATCCTCAAACACAAGATGAAACGTTCTATGGAACTCTCAGCCAATAGTACCATCTGTGTTCGCACGATCTTGTCCTCAGAAGACACAGCGGCAAAAATGTTTCTCTCTCACTCACGGTTCAGAGCAATGCAAAACCGTTTAACGTTTCCAACCAAGGGAAGCGAAGCAAAAAGTTTATTTTTCATCTTTTTTTATTTTTTTGGGGAGAGGAGGGCTTAGGGGTAGCCTGGTGAATATAGAGTATTAGCATCCCAAAACACAAGCAGAACTAAAGATAATTGGCTTGGTAAAGACTTAAAACACTAGAAACAAATGCAAGCTTCTTGTGTAACCATCTGATCATCCTCCTGCTGTGCTTTTTCAGATCTGCTAAGCTCAGTGGCCTTCCACCTGTTGCTGTCAGTGAACTAATTCTAAGGAGTTCAAGGAGAAAGTGAAGAGAAACTTTCTCGCAGGTTTATACGGAAATCTCTTTACCCATTGAAAATGTTTAGGGAAACACAGAAAATCCCCTCAAAGCTCCCCACGATTAAAAGAACGCCAGTCTTCAGGACCTTTTGTCTAGGTTGATTAACTGGTGACTTACAACATCTACTTGTATTCCTACATTCCCTGATATAGACAGCCTCAAAAATCTCTGCATGAAGTATAAGATATAATTCATTAATATTTTCAATGCTCTCTATAACCTTTGAATAGAAATCACTACAGAGCAAGGAGGTAGTAGATGATGTAATTAGAAGCTGGATATCCCTGGCATCATCTTTGAAAATTAAGCATTCAACTATCCAGAAATATGAAATCAGAAAGAGATGTAAAATTAAACCGCTTCGCTTATGTTGCGGACAACACCAAGCTGAGCAGTGCGGTTCACATGCCTGAGGGAAGGGATGCCACCCAGAGGGACCTGGACAAGCTCAAGAACTGGGTCTATGTGAACCTCATGAGGTTCAACAAGGCCAAGTGCAAGGTCCTGCACATGGATTGGGGCAATCCCAAACACAATTACAGGTGGGGGATGAAGGGATTAAGAGCTGCTCTGAGGAGAAGGACTTGAGGGTACTGGTGGATGAAAAGCTGGACATGAGTTGGCAGTGTGCACTTGTAGCCCAGAAAGCCAAATGTATCCTGAGCCGCATCAAAAGAAGCGTGGCCAGCAGGTCGAGGGAGGTGATTCTGTCCCTCTACTCAGCTCTCGTGAGACCCCACCTGGAATACTGCGTTCAGCAATGGGGTCCCCAACAGAAGAAGGACATGGACCTGCTGGGGCAAGTCCAGAGAAGGGCCACAGAAATGATCAGGGGGCTGGAGCACCTCTCCTATGAAGAAAGGCTGGGAGAGTCGGGGTTGTTCAGCCTGGAGAAGGGAAAGCTCCACGGAGACCTTACGGCAGCTTTTCAATACTTAAAGGGGGCCCATAAGAAAGACGGGAACAAACATTTAATAGGGCCTGTAGCAATAGGACAAGGGATAATGGTTTTAAACTGAAGGAGGGTAGATTCAGAGGAAACATAAGGAAGAAATTTTTTACAATGAGGGTGGTGAAACACTGGAACAGGTTGCTCACAGAGGTGGTAAATGTCCCATCCCCGGAAACATTCAAGGTCAGGTTGGATGGGGCTCTGAACAACCTTATCTAGTTGAAGATGTCCCTGCTCATTGCAGGGATGCTGGACTAGATGACCTTGAAAGGTCCCTTCCAACTCAAACTATTCTATGATTCTATGTAAGAGCAAAAAATCTAATGACTTCTCAGAAAACATCAGAGAACTCAATCACAAAAATATTTTGAATTTCCAAAAGGCATTGTATTTCTTATTACGAGACAATACAGCATGCCAAGAAAAAAAAACCAACAAACAGATCCCTTCATCCCACTCCCAATATGTAGTATTCTAGAAAAGAAAAATATTTACCTTTAAACTCCTTTTGCAGAGGTCTATGGTACAGACCATTAGCAAGCTATAGATTTCATGAAGTTAAGATCGAAGCTAGTTCAGACCCATGTTCTTCCTTAAGAGGGTTATCTATGGGCAAAGCGCGTTGATTTGCTCAGTAGACAGCTAATTAAAACTGCTAGGATGCCTCCTGTAAGAAAGTTCTAAAACATTTTTCCTGACTTTGAAGCAGCAGAAGACCAAAAGGTTCTCTCAAATGCACTGTTTAAACAGTCTGAACCCAAACCGAAGGTAAAGGGCTGCTTTCCTGGCAGCTTCAACCATCTACTGCTTTACCATCACACCAGAACTCCTGAGAAACTCAGCCCCTGCAAAGAGTCCACGCTGTAAGTGACATACAGAACAACGGAATACTTCTAAGTGGGTGCAACGTTTCTCCTGTCCTCGCTTTGTCCTGGCCCTCAGCTTTCCTTGCTTCCCCTAAAAGAACAATCCTTTCCTCCACAAACTGAGGTCCTACTGTCCAAAGGGCAAAGGCTGAGATATTATCTTCAAAAGAAGAAAGGGGGGAGGGGCAGGCAGGGACACACAGCACAACAAATTAAGAGGGCTACTTATCTGGAGGGATACCACGAAGTGAGCTTTTATTGACTGCTGTCCAGTTCTGTCAGTAGAACGGAGATCTAATATTTCTGAACTGTATCAATGTACCAGATGACTTAGTTTAAGAGACGAAGCCCATTCATTTGTGATTACAAAAGCAAGAATTATTTATTAGGTCCACAATAGTGTATGAACTTCATAATGATTAAGATAGGCACTGGCAAACAAATACTTTACTTTGTAAGACTGTTTGGTGGCAGTATTATGCATAGGGAAAACCAAAATTGTTAGGCTATAACCACTTTATTACACCTGTATCTATTGGTCCATTTATGAAGAAACAACGTCAGTCAATTGAAATAGCAACTACATTTTGCATAACGCAGAAGTAGCTTACTGCATTGATAGAGAGAACATAGAGACCTTACAAGCATACCAGAAAATTATTTTTAACCATAAAATAGTGAATTTCTGAAAAAGTCCACCTCTCCAGTGGGCATAAGAGAGAGTTGTAGAACACTGGAACAGGTTGCCCAGAGAGGTGGTGGATGCTCCATCCCTGGAGACGTTCAAGGCCCGGTTGGATGAGGCCCTGAGCAACCTGATCTAGTTGGAGATATCCCTGTTCCTTGCAGGGGGGTTGGACTAGATGACCTTTGAAGGTCCCTTCCAGCCCTAACGATTCTATGATTCTATGATTCTATAAAAATCCCCAGTAAACCTACAGCTTGTTCACTTAACTGTTTAGGCAAAGAACTGGACAAGATGGAAATAAACAGAGTTAGAAATGTAAGCAGAAATTAAACGAGTCCTAGAATATCTATTTACTGGCACTTATAGAGGAAAAGACAGAGGACTTAAAGGAGACCTAGTTATTTGGTCATTGACTCTTTCTATATATCACAGCAGTACAAAGTTCACTTTGTATTACTAGTTCAATTGCTCAGCTGATGCATAGCATGACTTCTAGGGTGAGAAAGAAATATTTTCCTATGTAAGGCTCATAGTTTTTACTGTGATAACCTCAACCTCTCTACAGCAGACTCAGCTTTCAAGAACCATCTTTGCTCTCCTCCTCTGTCACGTTACAATAGTGGAATTTTTACTGGAAAGTAAAATCCTGTGTTATATCTAATAAAAAACTGAGAAACAAAACAGAAATCTCAGCAATTGGATTTTTATTGGAGCGAGGGATAAGAAAAAAGGAACAGGCATCCTGAAAGTCAATTTTAGAAATTGTCTGACACTTACTATTTTAATTTCTTGGTAGTCATAATTTTAAAATTTGTGATGTCACAATTTGTGGCTGCACTAATACAGCAAATGAATTTTTCACTCGGTTACAGCAAAAGAAGGCAGAGCAGGGTATTTCTTTATTCTAAACATCCAAAAGTAGCCTGGCAGAAGTTGTGAAGTACTTATCATGTAGAATTCATTAACGACTGTAAAACATTGCACATTAATATATGATTACTAATTCCTCCAGTCAGCAGTACCATTCTGGAGAATTAAGAGATCAGATCATAGAACTCCTAAACCAAAGCAGCTCAGCCTTTCAGCAGAATTAGACTTCCCATGCCCTATGCACACTTTTAAGGACAACTCATTGCTATCACTTCCCTCCCTTCTCAGTCACATCATCAGCTGAGAAACAAGTCTGTAACATGATCAAAATGCATACTTTTGACGTCACACACTTTGGGCGCACCAAAGCACTCATGCAGAGCCTGCCTGCATGGCAGGCAACAGGAACTGTAGGCAAGCTGAAACCTGCATTTTGATCACATAATAAGAAGGAATTGCAAGATCACTGGGTAACAAGAATGAGGGAGGAGGCTGCAAAAATTTTGCCTGCTCCCTTCATGAAATCAAAGTGTTTCTGGGAACAAGTGAAAAGGGACCCCAATACACAATGGTCATTGATATCAGAAGAGTTTCTGATTTTAATGCTTTCCTTTGATAAATGACACGTGTAAATGACCAGAAATCTCATCACGCTGTCTTTGATTTGTCTGGTAGACAAAATAGCAAAGCTCTGAGCCTTCAACTTTTGCTCATTTCCTATTTAAAAAGAATCCAATAAAAAAAAAAAAGAAAATAGGGAGGGGGGTAAAACAGAAAGAAAGAAAATTCTTGAAAAGTTTAAGACAAAATATATTTTTAGTGTTAGTGACCTATTTCTGAAGAGTTTGTTTGATGACTAAAACCA